TTTTTGTATTATTGAAGGAATATCATTAGGTATTTTTTATTATTAAGATATTATATATAATAAAATAGATTTTAAAAAATGAATCAAAATTAATCATGTGCAGTTTTGCAAATGAGAAATGAAGGCAAGGTTTGCGTTTACGATGCTAACACAAAGAACACACATTCTCTCATAAACGACAAGAGAAAGAGGAGGAAATACTGCCTTTAGCTTTCAGGAGCCCCCAGTTTGCCCGGTATTTAATGAGGCCCAAGTGGGTTGAGGAACGATGGTCGGATGATGGGATCGGTAAGAAAATAATTAAAAATAATGCCAATAATAATAATTTGAGATTTTTGGGGGGGAAATTGTGTATCTAGTGGCAATAGAATTTGTTCTTTAAATTATAGATTTGAGAAAAATAATCAATAACATATAACTAATTCATTATTTGAGAATGAATTAAGAGGTGTTGTCTAATAGCTATCTGATGAGGTTATACTTAATGGGATAAATAATAAATAATCTGGCTCTTAGAAAGACAAAAAATATGTATCTAGATCCTCTGCTCTTTTTTATTTCTTGCTCAAATCCACATACTCTGTTTTAGTCCATAAAAGATTTTAGAACGACAGATTTATACAAAAAGATAAAGAAAGACAGGCCAAAGGCCCAGTATTGTGAAGCCAAACTTCCTAGCACCTTGGCTTGATTGACAACTGACAACAGCAAGACATTATTGATCGAATAAAGATAATAATCATTTAGATAATGTATTAATTTTAATTAAAAATAATGCCAACAATAATGTATTAGGTACATTATTTAAATTTTACATACAAGAAAAAGACTTGTAAAAGTCATGAGATTATAAATATAATTTAAATTACTAGGGTTTACACTTATATTAGTCACTCAGTGAGTTATTCAAGTCTTTTTTATGTTCATTAAGTTGGTGCCATTGTGTGACAATTGGATATAGGCAAATACGCCTAGCTGGATATATATTAACCAGGACACTGCATTACAAACGAAAAATTAGTTGACAATTAAATACGTAAAGTAAATAGCCTACAAATTATGATGTATATATTTTATCATTGATATACTTGGCATTTGGTTAATGTGTTCAATCTTTATATAAGCTTTTAGTTAAGTGCAAAATCAAGTTTAAGCATTTGTCCGCATCCAATAAATGTAAATTCAAACATGTACACAGTTAAATAATGCAATTTACAGTTATAAGTAAATTGAAATGTAAATAAATTGTTGTAGGAGTCTATGTCCAATAAATATTACCCTGCACCAAAATTAAAAGAAAATTCCCAATAATATAAAAAAAAGTATACACAAAATGAATATAATAAGAACACATACTACGAACATACAAACTCAGGAACAAAAAAGGAAGGTAGGAACACAAAATGAAATCAAATTGTGTTAGACAGTTTATAATCAATTATAAATAATTAACTTTTAATGACGTGAATGAACCATACAATATTTTTGTTATATTGTGAGCAATAACCCGCAATGACAACAATAATACTATACATGATGGTACACGCTACTTTATATCTTCTGCAGTTTAAATTTTCATTTTTATTATCTGGTTATGGTCAATTTTATCTAATTTATTTGCGTATATACACTTTAACATTTGCCACATAACATATACCAAACATTTTCCCGAAGAGCATTGAGATGATCTCGCTTGTGTCGTTTTTGCAGACGTGAGCATGGCTTCAAATTAACAAATTTGGTTGCTTCAGACTTCGAATGCAGCCAAAGTTTTCGAGGCTAAGACAAAAATCCGAAACCGAAATCGCTTTAAAGTTCGTAACAAATTTGCGTATTTTTCTTTCCACGTAAGTTTTGTAAAGAACAAGGTATTCTCAGAAATCGATTGAAAGTTCGTAACGGTCACTTTACTTTTCATTGTCGTTTTCTTTAATTAATTAATTATATGCACGTAATTAAGTTATTTAGTAAATGTTTAAAATAACAAATATAATTATTTTTTTTATAAGCACTGGAATTGTAACTTCAAGTTTCAAAGACGAAATTCAAATTAGGAGGTAAGTTGTTTTGGGGTCTATAGCCGCTCTATTTAACCCCCCAAAAATGTGGAGGACAAATATAGTATTGAATAAATAAAAGAAAGATTGCATATGTTATATAAAAGTGGCATTGTGCATACTTTAAATAAGCACGAGGTTGAATTAGTTACAATTCAATTTCACAAACACACACGTAGCCCAAAATTAAAATGATAGTGTGACATTTTTCAAAAGAGTGAATGATTAAAAATCTCATATTTTAGTCATTTTAAACACTAGTAAAGTTTGGTCAAAAGGATCCATGTATGGATGAAAATATTTTGACTTAGGATTTAAATTGCATTTAATTGGAGTTTTATAAGCCATTAATCATAATTTTTTTTATGAAATAATATTAGATTTAGATGTAGCTGTCTTTAAATATTTAAATAATCACATTCTTTTCTCATAGTTACATATATGCACTGAAAACTTAACCTATAAAAGTAAAGACTATAGACAATTCATGGCAAAATTATTAGAAACTAAATATCGATGAAATTTTTTTCTTACATCAGTAATATATGAAGTATCATAGCTACTGTCGCAAAAAATATTTTTTTAATAAAAAATTACGATCTGTTATAATATGTATCTTAAATATAATTTTAACATGATATATAATTTGGCACATATTAATTAATTACCAATTTAAAATATTCACAATCAAGTTAATCTTTGGTCACCAAAAAACATATTTATTTGAATAAAATTAAATTGACTTAAGGGACGTTTGAAAAACTTTTACAAAATTTATAAGTTGATAAAAATATATTATTATTTTTAACTTATTTAAATATTTTGCAGTAAAAATTATTAAAATAAACCCTTTTAATTTAATTTTAATAAATTTTGCATTTGATTTATAACGTATATTTTTATAAATAAAATTTATTAAATAAATACTTAATAATTTTTTATTCAAAATACTTTTATTTAAAAGAATTGTTCACAAAACCAGAGTTAAATTTTACTTTAGAAGCATTTTGATAATTGAAGCAACCAGCGTGTGTAAAATGTAATTTGCTTGCGTACCTAAAAATTTTTCCACCATGAATAAGACAAGTACCTCAATATGTGTGAAATGATCAGAAACATAACATTCTGTTACTTCAAAACTCTCAATGCGCCGAAAACTTTCCAGCACGAGACAAAAAAACAGAAAAACAATGACATTTGCACATTTATGGTAAGCTTTGTGCTAATTAAAATCCGGTAAGTTGATAAAAGAAGTGAGCTTACCCAAATTTAAAAGTGACTTATATTTTCATATAAATTTTTTACATTTTTATAATATTATTTTTCTTTATTTTTTATGTCCATTAATCATTTTTTTCTATTCTTCTTATGTGATTGCTCTTTAAAATAATGAAACACGTACATTTGGTCTTTTCTGTACACTACCCATTTTAGTTACACATTTATTTTCAAAATCACTAAATTAGTGAAACACTTATTTTTTAAATTGTTCGAAAATATTATTATTCTGCTTAAGATATCAGTTTCCAAACTAATGAACGTCAAAGAGACGTTTCTTTATAGATTCAGCGTGTATTCTAAAATTTTAAAAAGGTAAAAAAGAAGAAGATATTATTACATATACTTAAATAAATAAATTTTTTATACCCACAAAATCTCTATATCACTTACTGAAGTATATTAGTTTTTCCATATTTAATTTCAAGAATGCTTTAGGTAAAGTATATCGACACTCTTTGAATTGAGGTTAATTATGTTAATTTGATATCGCTTTTCTCTTGAGCTTAAATAGTTTTTCTTAATTTATATAACATGATATCATATATTTATTTTTGCTAATATAAACCTCTTCTTGATTTGTAACACAAACCCTTTGAATTTAATTTATTAATTAAAGTGGTTTTGGATTAAAGTAGTTTGGTTAGAATACACAGAATATCAAGTATAATATTACTTAACTTTGAAGTTCCAATAAACTTTTATTTCAACTAAATGCGAGAATATCAAATGTATACTTGTTGTGTGTTAATTTTCCGATTAATATAGAACGTCACTTAGTGATTGATGAAGAAAATTTTAATCTTGCGTTTTAAGAAAAAAAAAAAAACTTGTTCATACTAACTTTAAATATTTTATTTTCCCTTTTGCATATGCATGATCCTAGTTGTTAATTAGGAGCATGTAGTTTGCAAAACTGGATTTGAGTTGGTCAGCCCAATTGGAACTAATCCAATCAAGCCTCTAAACAGATATTGAGAATCCATTCCAAACATGATCATTGAGATTGTTTCTGATATAATTATTTAAATACAAAATAAAGTAAATAAAATTATTTTAAAACCTATTTATGAAACTAAAATCAAACACGTTTTCTGTGAAAGCAAGTTTAGTACAACTCATACTTAATGTTTATATAGTGTAAAATTTATTTATTAATTTTCTTTTGTATTTATGTCATAAATTACTCATTCACACGATTTGTTCAACCCAATTGAATCTAGATTATATCTTAAAACTATAAATGTTTTTCTTGACCGTTCAAGGATTTATTCAATTATAAAAACATTGGTGAGAAAAGAAAATTTTCAGATAATTTTTATTATACTTTCAGAACGGCATTTGACATATATAAAGACATTTTTGAGAATGTAAGTGTTTGCCGTAAGAAGTTGTTGCCTAAAAAGATTTTTTTACCAAAATTCGATCATATATATATATATATATATAGTGTCTGTTTACGTTTCTTTTTCTTGTTTACTCATTTCATTCACGGTTTCCCATACTTCTTGTTACTATAAATTTATATACAGAGACATATGTCTCTCCCACATTTCATTTCCTATAGGTTGTCCAGTTAAGTTGTTCCATTCTATAATAATCTCTCTGCAAAACTCTCTCCAAATTCCGAAGACAGAGCAGAGAAGAAGACCCTTTGGAGAGAAAATGGCGGGTAGCTTTATTCCACTCTTAGCCATGGTTCTTGTACAATTGGGCTATGCAGGGATGAATATTACCTCAAAGCTTGCAATAGAATCTGGCATGCACCCTCTTGTCCTTGTTGCTTATCGACAAATCTTTGCCACTCTATCCCTTGCTCCCTTCGCTTATTGGTTGGAAAGGTAATTTAGACACATACATCCATATCCACATTGTTTCGAGATTGCTTATGTTATTATGGTCCGGTTTTATTACATATATAATCATATAAATACATCAATAGTAATCACATTCAAAATAATATGACCAAATGATATATGATTTTCTTAACTTTACTCTATTAATCAAACTTGGTATAAGTTATGCAATGCTTAAACCAAGTGTATTCATGAATGGTGTTGCTTTCTTCGTGATGATCTACTGAAAGAGAATATGATGATTATAACGCATGCTTTATAGTAAATGAGAAGAGAGAAGATGATTATAACTAGCCCAAAAATAGTTGGAAAATTTCTATCAACTGTGATCCACTATTGCTAACGAAAGTCAAGGCTAATTATAAAGACAGTTCGAATCAGTTCGGACTCCCAACACATGATTTGCTATTATGAAAACTAAGCTCAGTGCGTAGAGTTGTAGTTAATGTCTAGCATAAGTTATCTTTCTCTCCTAGAATAATTTAACAAATAGTAAAAATAGGCGAAGTTAAACAGGAGAAAAAACTTGGATCACTGATTGCATCATGATTTACAATTTTTATTAAAAGAAACTTATTTTTTTGTTTCCTTTCATCAATAGGAATACGGTTCCCCGGATGACAACGCGCATTGGGTTCCAGATACTATTATCTTCCTTAACAGGGTGAGCTTAATCTGGTTGCTGTTGCCCTTTTAATCTTCTCAAGTTGCAGTTTCTTTTTAAGCTAATACATGATCAAATTGAAAAATGAGACGTTATAAGCTGAGAATTCATTTTCATAAAAAAAAAAAAAAAAAACTCGGGAAGAAAGGGAGAAAAACGTGTAATGTTATTATTATTGTTATTATTATTCTGAAACCTAGATTTATTTTCTATGACCCTTGAATCAATATCAATATCAACATTTTAGTATAGAAAAGAGGAACCATATTTGTAAAATTCTGTCAAGTGGCTCCTGCAATTTATCACGCAAATATTTTGTTAAAATTTTGAAATCCACTGTAATTTACACGTGTCTTGTGCCATGTATAATAAATAAATTTAAATCAAAATTTTAAGCATTTTTTGTTACAAATATTATAAAATTGAATTTGTTATTATATTTTATTTATATAAAGAAAACATTAGCATTATGTTATTACCTCATTCAAATGTATATCTTTTATTAAAAATTGTTTAAAATATTAATCTTCAAAAATACCGGACTAATGAAAAACTCAAGAAATGTTATCACAATTTAAATTTGTCAAGTTTTAAACATGTAGAGTATAATCCAACCAGCTTGTTACTCTACTTTTAGTCCAAGAGTTTTAGACTAACCAGTACTTTAAAGATATCATTTAAATAATTAAAAAAAATTTTAAAAATTTAAGTTGGGATGCAATAAAAATGATGGAAGAATGAACACTAATAATTAATTTTTAAAAACTTTAACAATACGTTAAGAAAACTAGGTTAACATTTATCTTTTAACTTGTAACAAACGTTTCAATCTTGGGACTGCAGAGTAACAGGAAATCAGATACTGTACTTCGTGGGGCTAAAATATTCAACCCCTACAATAGCATGTGCACTAAACAATTTGCTCCCAGCATTCACTTTTGTCCTTGCAGTCCTCTTCAGGTAAGCAACAAACAAACAGGACTAGCCCAGTATTTTAGTTTTTTATGTCCACTAATAACAACATCACTTTGCAGATATAGGCCATAAGATAGAACTATATAGCAATCACCCAAAAAAGAAAAAATAAACAGTAACTGATATAATTGAAACTAAATGTTATGCTTAGGCAAGAGCATTTGAGAATAAAGACAAAGACAGGGCTAGCAAAGGTGTTAGGGACGGTCCTTAGTGTGGGAGGAGCTGTGCTTTTATCATTTTATCATGGAAAAGTCCTTGGTCTAGGCGACTCAAGTATCCACTGGAGATATGCAGACAAAATGGAAAGAGCAACCTCTTCTGCTGGTGCCACAAACTTGCTTCTAGGCCCTGTTGCTGTAATTGCCAGTGCTCTTGTTTGGGCAGTATGGTTCATAATTCAAGTAAGGATTACAGTTTAATTAAACATTTATTTAACAATTTTTTACATCAGAGTTTATGCTATAAATTTAATTATGAGATTTTTTGAAATAAATTTATAAAATTATAAGTTACATAAAAAACAAATTAAAAAAACTTACAAAAATCATAAGTTATTTTTTATAAACAGTTCTGTAAATTATTCCAAACGTCTCTTGATTATTATATGAATTTCCTTTGCTCCGGCTCTTTATCTTTTAAAAGAGTAAACTAAATATATACTTGTTTTGGTGGTTCAGGCAGACATGAGCAAGAGCTTTCCAGTTCCTTATACGAGCTGTCTCTACATGTTTTTCTTGGCGAGCATTCAATGCGTGGCCATTGCCTTGTGTGTTGAACACAAGGCCTCAGCCTGGTCACTTCACAGTACTATAAGAATTACTTCTGCACTTTACGCGGTATACTATCCTATATGCTTCTTTAATTTCTACTGGCATTTACTATAATTCAACTTTTTTTTTCATGAGTAGCATTTACATAGTGATGAATTAGATTTATTATTATTATAGTAGTAGTAATGATTGCATTGTAACGTTTGTTTCAGGGGACTATTTCTACTGGGCTAGCGTATGTTCTCCTTGCTTGGGCAATTGAGAGGAAAGGTCCTCTCTATGTCTCTGTATTCTCCCCTTTGCTACTTGTCATCATCGCTGTTCTCAGTTGGGCTTTGCTTCACGAGCAATTATATGTTGGCACGTATGAAATTACCATCTATAACTTAATATTAATTTTTTTTGTGCCTAATGAATAAAAATTGTATATTATGGTTCCCTCAATTTGGATTGTTCTTAATCCCATATTTTGATTTGGTTCAGTGCCATAGGGTCTCTCCTAATAGTGTTGGGGCTCTATTTTGTTTTGTGGGGAAAGAACAAAGAGATGAATAACAAAGAGGCTACTCAAGAGATAGTCACAAGGGCAATGAAGGATGAGATGAGTGAGCTAGAATTGCAACCCTATGATCCTTCTAACGGCAACCATCATGCTGCTGCTTAGGGGAGGAGGAAGTGAGAGGCAGAGGATTCAATGCAGAGGAAGTGCATGGAGATACCAAAGGCACAAGTCGTTTCTAGAGTCTGGTGCACGTGTTATTTTCAAAGTCTAGATTTACAATTGTTTTGTAGTTGTAGGCATATTAATTTATTACACCCTTGCCGAAAATGTTCAATGATAATTTTACCCCCCTGTCTACCAATAAGAAGATTGTTTTCAAATTTTCCCTTTATTTATTTTAGAAAGTAGGAATTATAAATTATAAAAGTAACTATAAAATAAAAACTAATATTGTAATGAAAAAAACTAAAAGTAGGACTACGGCTTAATTTAAGTTCATTTCTAGAAAGTTTTTTATAAAAAAAATATAAAGAAATGGATATAAATTTTTTATAAATTAAAAATAACTTATGTTTTTAAATTTTAAAAAATTTAAATGAAAAAGATTCTCATAACTTACTGGATGAGTATAACTTATATTTCTAACTTATGAGATGAATTTTATTTATTTTTATATTAATTTTTTTTTATAAAAATTTTTCTAGACAAACGATGTGAATTGACTACAACTTTTTCATTCATAATTTTGCTTAATAGATGCCTACAACTCAGTATAACACCTTCAATTATATTCTCATATTGCTACTACCTTCAAATTAATTATTTGATCTAGTCAATAATTTTAACTCATTATAGTTATTTGATTTAATAACTTCAAACAAAAGCAACTTATATCTTTAAGTTTTAAAAATAATAGTTTCTAAATAATATAAAAACATAATTTTTAATTTATGAAAAGAATTTTATTTATTTTTACTTATTTTTACTTTATAAGTATTATTAAAAAATTATTTAAATTAACATATTGTTCGTGGACAAGACCAATTAAATAGTTATAAATGGTTCTTAAATTAAGTTTTTAGAATATTATTCCACAGATATTGTTCCAAGTATTAAAAATATTTTGATTTAATTGTTTGAACTTAAATAATAAGGATTATAAAAGAATTAAATCAAAAAGTAAGAAAAGAAAACAGCGCAACCTATGACAAAAAACTATTCAAGATGAATCCTAAGATATATGGTTTTCTTTTTACACTTCTTTATATTCGCTTAGTCTAATTCTAATTTTGGTTTCTTTATGATGGTTAATCACTCATACTAATACTACTAACACCCAATAGTTATGCAATGCTAGTAATTTTTTTCGTAAGCTATTACACCCAATGATCATGCAAAACAAAAAGGTAGAGAAAATATTCAGAACCTATGAGTTTGTGATCACGAGTGTCGTACTCGGACAAATTATTAAAAACCGAATTGTATAAAAATTATGTAGTAAGAAGTGCAATCTGAGTCGTCTCCCAATGATGATAATGTTATATGATTATGAATTTGGATGGGGTTTGATTTATAAAATAATACTGATTAGAATGAAAAATTAACAAGAATTAAAAACTTTAATCTAAGAATTTAGAAGAACTATGACCATTCTATCACTGGATTGCAATAAGATGCATCCGCCAACAAATTAGTGATTAACATTAAATTCGAATGAAACCTCAATTCAAATTAAGCATTCACATGAAGAACCTCATGCATTCAATTAACACACAATTGCTCAAAGTTCAGAAACCTCTAAAACCTAATTGATTTGTGTTAATTTAATTCACCAATGCCATTAATCTTAGATCTCAAACCTGAAAATCTAATTCACATTCCTTCAAAAATTAATTACATATATCAACCGAATAATATGTAATCAAACAACTGCACAATTATCAATCCAAATGAATAACTTCAATTCAAAAATCTAATTAGCAAAAGGAAAATGAAGGAAGAGATGAAATTGGATTTGTTGTTGAATGAATTGCGAAACCGATCCTCAAGAATGTCTCAGCCCTTTTTCAATCCTTGGATTAGATGAAAGTCTAAGCCTCCATTAATGGAAGAAAACTAAAGGTAAAAACGTGAGAGAAGAGAAGAGGCAAAGAAGAAGAGACAAAAACCCTAAAAACTTGTATTATTCCTCCCGAAAAACAACCAACCCTTTTTCAACCTGTTGCCCTAATTTAAATACAGGCCTTTTAAGGGTCAAAACGTAAAAAATAATTAATAATTATTCAATTACATTAATCCTCTACTCAATAGCTGTCTCTGGAATCCTTATTTGTTCAAGTTTGAATTTTGGAGGGAAAATTATGCTTGTAATTGCTACCCAATATCCATGCTGAATCCAAGAAGATATTGTGTGGTATTTTTGGCCGTGAAGATCTGTCCGATTTGATTTCTGATATGAAGAGAAATTGTAGCCCTGGATGTTAGCTTCAAAATGCAACTAGAATGGACTTAAACGGACATTTGTGAAATTGAGATATGGCCCAAATACTGCACCAAGGTTAGAAACTGCAAGTGCATATTTTTTACTTTTTCCAAGCCCAGTTTCAGCATCTTATCATCAAAATTGGTTTCTGACCTCTACATAGGAATCGTGCGCCTTTCTCTCAGCTTTCCTACAAATCAAGAATTATAATGAAATGAGCTCTACAACTCAAGATATGGCCCAGAAACCAAAACAGTATTAGAATTTACCTAATGCTGGAAAAATTAAATAAAGCCCAAATAAAATTCAAACATCATAAAATGATCCAATTCAAACCAATTAGGCACAAAAGAGGATTAATGAGCTAGGAATGAGAGGAAATAAGATTGTAAAAATTTTAATTGATCAATTTGTTAATTTAATAACCGATTAAAAGAGAAAATATAAGTTTGGTCCCCCTAATTCTTTGTCTCATTTTACCCTATTGTTTCATTAATTACATGTAATATGTTCGTTTATAATATAATTAACTAGGAGATGTCAAGAGTCATAAATTTCCAACAAATAGATTTAACCATGCTAGAGCAAAATTAATATAAAAGGAAACTCACAATTTTCTTTAAACATAAAGATCACAAAGTATATAAATGATCTACCATAGTCCTAGTTATGAATTTAGATACTCATAATGATATGAATTGTAACACCTGTATTTTGTAATTTATTATTATTGCAAATTATGTTAGTTGTTTGTGCATGTTATTTAAAATTAGAAGTGTTTAATTAATGTGAACTATAGGATATCTCGTTGTAGCGAGACAAATCTCGCTATAGCGAGAATGAGGCAGTGAAAATGGAACCTTCTAGAGCCTTCTTGCTGTAGCTAGAATCTCTCGCTTTAGCGAGGATGCTCTCGCTATAACGATGAGCTTTCGTTGTAGCTAGAATGACAGACAGTAAAGGAGAAAAACTTCTAGTTTTTTCGCTGTAGCGAGAAAGTCACGAGTTTGATAGATATTTAAAGAACTCTCGCCCTAAAAACTTCATTATCAACCAAATCACCTATCCCTCCCCATCCTCTTCGTTCTCCCCCTCTTTCTTCTTAGAGAAAACCTCCAATAACTCTGGATCTCTCTTGGATCTCAGCTCAAACGTCTATTCCATCGAATCTAAGTAAGTTTTCAGAGCCCATCCTTTGAATCTTGTTCCTATTTCTCTTTCTCTCTTTCATAATAGAAATCTATCTTGTGATGTTAGAAAGAACTCTAGTCCTTGAGTAGTATTTTTGGACGAGACGTGGAGTTTCTCCCTAGATCACACAAAGAACTCGGTTCTTGAGATCCATTTTTAGGTAAGGGGTGTAACACCTTATATTTCTTTTCTCAATATTTGATAAATTTTCATAAATATTTAAATGGCAAAGTAAATTTTCTTTCAACAACTCTCTAATGAGAAAGAAACAATGAAATGATATAAGGTTTATAGAGTAAAATTTCATTAATTCATGAGTACTTTTAGAAAAACAAAGATTCTAAAGTTTTCATCAACCACAAAAAGAAATAGTAGTTTTACAACTGTTTCAAAAGAATGCTATAGAACTGAAAATATTCATTACATAACTCAAAATAATTAAGTTCTATAGCAGTTCTCATCCATCCATGCACATTGAGCCTGGTACTATTCGTCCTGGTCTCCTGAAAAATGTTGTGTAAGGGTGAGTCTCTACCCTACCACTCACACATCACACATATTTATCACAAAACACATCTTATCACGGTTAAAGAAAATATCATGGCATTATATATCATAGTGTCATATAAAGCATGTTCTCATCTCAACACATATTATATTCCATAGATTCACAATTTCTTTTACTTTTATCTGCGCTTATCGCACCTTATGGCCATAGTTATTCGATGCCTCTATTCTGAGGTCTTACACATGGTCTTACACATCCATGTAAATAGTCGTCGGATGGCCCAATACAATACAGATACAACGCATGTAATAGACAGCCCCTTAGCAAAGGTAATGGTCAGGAGTCAAGTCGAGAAACGAGTGTGTGGCCATGTGGTGCATTTGAACACAATATTCCATGCACAATCCCAAATGTCACTCACCACCCTACATTTCCCCAAGATATCCCATATCGTCTCCATCTTTCACTCTCCAGTATATCTCTGTAACTATTTACATCATATCCTTTTTCCATCTCATACTCTTTCAAGTATATTCACATGTTCACATATGCCATTTCTCATGTTTACACATATTTTTCATTATATTTCCACATGCTTTTCATCATATACATCAAACCATGACATATTCACAATACACATAATTTTTACATGAAACACAATATATTCAAACATGAAACATCCATCTTTTTGTATATTTCATATCACAAAATCATAAAATCATATCAATCATCCTCAATATACTTTATCATGCCCTATTTGAACATAATATCACATTTTCACCATGTATTCATCATAAAATCACACAAACAACCAATTATTCTCACTTTTCACTGATTATTTTTCATAAAACAAGGATTATTCTATATATAATCACATATATGACAAGATCTATGAGAATACAAGTAATAAACATAACAAAATGATAAAGTAGAGCCCCCTTACCTCAAAACAGAGCTTTTACAAAGATTTAACCGAAGATT